TGTTTTGTTTTTCTTATAGAGTTTTCAAGTGCAATTTGAACTCAGTTTCGAACCGTATAAGTCGTAAAATCTTTTCCCGGAAACAGTTTATTTTTCCCCGAGAGAAACTCAAGTATTTGGTCTCTCTCACTCCGCACCACATGTCAGGCCCATTGTTCGGGTCACGTACACTTGAGAGTTCGGGGCTGGGCCAGCCGATCGACTATGGGGGTGTAAGACCAACCCCATCGACCGAATTCAGGGTCACGATTGCTTCCCTACTCTTTCCTGTGGGATGAGTTTCCACGCTAGCGAGACTTAGAGTAATTTTAAGAGAAAATGTAAGAGCAGTTCCACTACCTACGTGGACCAGAGAACTTCTGGAGCGATAACTAATTCAATTTAAAGTCAAGAGTTTGCTGTTGTTGTGAATTAAGTAACATGTCTAATGGATTAAATCGAATATTGTGTACTAGCATAAAAATCAGTGTTTCTGTCTACATTTATTTCGAATATTCCCGCATTTGTGAAGCAGAGTGCTTTTGCACTCCACGGGCAGTGAACCTGCCATCTGGGATCAACTCTAACTAGCTCGATACGTAACAATAGAACAAAAATTTACCAGATAAATCGAATCATCGTATCGATTTTTCATTAATCGAAAAAAAACAATGGATTGATCGATAATCGCATTTTAGTTACGATACAATATCCCTATGACCTCCTTTAGTATATTAGAGAACTAGCGCGACCCCGGCCGCAAGCGGCCGGGGTGTTGATGTCCCTTTCATTCTGCCCTTTTTCCTGTCAGTTTTAATATTCCGTTTTTCAATTCATTGTTCATAATCATTCTAATTGCAAAAAGCAACGCAACTGATGACAATAATCTCTCCCAATTTATTAGCTTCAAATTTTGTTAATTTTTCATATTGCAATAAATGACTTGTTCATGTGCTAATTGCTATACTTACTGAATAAAAGTTCGATCATAATTATAATGTACTTTCTTCTCGAACGTAAGCCAGAGAGTAGATTTCTAGTGAACACTCTTATAAATTTTCATAATTAGTTCACTCGTTAATTCAACTAATCTGTTATTCATATCATCAATATAATTCCGCGCTTGAAATATCATCACCTAGTGTTTTCAGCACCAAATTAAAAATTAAAATTTTAAATGATTGTTTGACTTCTGCTCTATCTTTTTTTGAGAGTCTGAAATTCACATTAATGATTCAGATAATATTACATAATTATCATCATTTTTATTATTTGCAGTTATGGAATATTGAGTGAAAGTTTTTTTTGTTTAATCATATCAGAAATTTTTAATTTAAATATTGTTACTATTTGTTCAAAGTGAAACAATCGATTATCATTTTCAGTATGTTGCATTCAGATTCTTCTATACTTAATGTCAAAAATGTCAGAATCTCTCATAATTCTAACTATTGATTCCAATTAACTTTGAAGGAAACCCCAGCAAACGCACCATTGAGGAAGTTGAATCATTCTATTTTCCTGTGGCCTAAATGATTTGAGCAATTATAATTTGTTTATCAATCGAAAATACAGAGTGATTTGGTACAGAATATTCATCGTTTAAATGAGAATTCAAGTAACTTGAAAAGTTCTGCGCTTCACATGCTGGTGAAAAGTGTTGAATTTCATTAAATTTACAGTAAAATTTGAAATTTCACGACTTTTTCCTCTCAAACGGAAGTAAATGTCTCTCGCCTGAAAATTAGTACTGTACTGTTCATGACATTAAAAATTTTTTTCCAACACTATAATTACTACTTACTCATAATTATTAAGGAACATTTTCAAAATCTTTTTAAAAAAGTAAAAAGTCGACTGTTCTGAGTATGGTCGGAAAATTGCGATTTTCGAAGACCACGAATTTTTTGCTTCCGAATGGAAGCTTTACAATTATGATTTTTTTTGACTTCTGAATTTTGGGTGGAAATGCCTAGGAATGTCATGAAACGTGAAGAAATGATGTTTTTAAAAAATGTCTGTATATGAGTAGGGGTATATGTGTGCACATGTGTGTTCGTATGTCCAGAACTGTCCCCATAACTCGAGAATTATTGAGGCAAATATGCTGAAATTCTGGCTGCTAATTGGTACTACTGAGACTCAAATTTATGCTAAATTTCAGCTCGATCGGTTGAGCGGTTCCTGAGATATAGCGATTCTTCGAAAATAGTTTTTTGCCGATATCACCTGGACTGATTGGATTCTTTTTTCAAAATACTCGTCACGATGATACCTATTTAATTGGATAGAAAAAAGACCATTACTCCCTGAGCAATGTAGTTTTATTCTCGTTTTTTCATTTTTTCCCTGAAATTGCTTATTCGCACGAAAACTTGAAAAATAATCGAGATAGAAACTTACAACTTAGTATGATTTTAGGTTTCATGGTAAATAAGTTTGGGATGCTGAATGAACGAAATCTTGTGGTCAATATCTCAAAAACTATTTGTCCGATTTCATTTTTTTTTCTTTCCAAACGTGCGTTTTCATGCCATTTATCTAGATCCAATAAAATATGGGTACCATCCCATTGAAATTTTCCGAGATATCGTCGTTTTTGTATTTTTTGCTCGGAGTTCACTTTTACGCACTATGACATGGGTAAAAGTCAGGGAAACATTTTAAAACTTTGGTTTCTAATTAGGACTGTCAAGGAACATTCCTATATCAAATTTTAGGTCTATGCATTTGATAGTTCTTGAGATGAAATAATTCACCCAAAATTTTTGAGAAAAAAAAATAACGCATCTATATTTCAACGTCCATTTTCACAGCACGATTATTGAGGAAGCCATATAACATGAATATTGTTGAATGAAATTGCAAATTTATTTGATAGAAATAGGGGAACATGAGTGCGATTGGCCTTAATATTTTCAAAAAATGGGAATTCGTATGCCTTAATTTTTTGAAAACATACATTGGGATCCATTGGGAAGCCTACTCAATGAAATTCGGTAGAAATGAAAATAGGAGAAATATACGTGGAGAGTAGCAGTCATATGTAATCTATCAAATGGCTTCTGTCGCACTGCCTGTTTATCTAACTCATTCAATAGTAATATATTTTTCACTCTAAAAATAATCATTTCTGAATTGTAATGAATTTTTCCCCTTTCAGAATTTCACCAAAATTTAATTGGATCCCTAAAAATATTCTTTTGAAAGTTTGAGCCATTTCCATTATTCATTCCTAAGAATGTCGAAAAAAAGCAATTATTTGCAGAATCTCGTTCGAAAGACGCTGATTATCCATGCTTTATTTTCGAACTTTTCCTAGCCAATTCGATGAAGAAATTGGACCATTGAAAATCTGTAAATAAAAAGTATTTCGACGTTTTTATTTTACGGTTAAAATTTAAAATTCATTGATTTTGGGATATACCTAAGGCTTGGTTTCATTAAACATAACCTCGAAAAACAAAAAATGACTTGGAAAAACAGGAGATAAATTTTGTTAATTCCACCCTTCGCATTCAAGTTAATTTAATTATCAATCACTCCAATTAGTTTGTCAGTTCTTAGCATTTATCACTGACAAATAACTTTTGATTCAACTCATTATAATCAAATACATGTGTAGGAAACATGCTCTAATGTACTTTATGCTTGCACGGTGTTTGTTTCTTATTTGGGGCTAGAAGTTCGCTTTTAAATTCGCGCGCATTTTCTTGAAAAATTGAGGTATCATCTTTTATACTGCCATCTTCCGGTATTTCTCCGTAATCTTGTACTAATCAGCTGATGTGATGCCCGGTTCTATTCGATTAATCGAAATCGAATGCAAAATAATCGATTATCCCCATGAGATCCGCCATGTTCGATTAGTGACCCATGTCTTTTTTAATATAGGATACTTTACTTAGAATTGATTACTGCAAGCACGAGTTTTGAAAAATAGTTAATTCGTTCGCCAAGTACGGTTATCAAATTGTATTTTTTAATTACCTTCCAACCCCCCGCAAACGGGCGGAACTAAAAAATAAAATGTTTTTGTTAGGAAATTTTCCGAACTTCTCCATGAAAAAAACTAAAATATAAAAAAGGACGGCAAACAACCCCGAATCACCGTTTTTGACTGAAATTTTCTTCTCAAGTTTTCTATGCCAAAATACATAATTACTGTAGCGTAATGGACGTTTTATATTTCATGGCTGTTTCTTAGTAGGTAATATACTTTTTCATTCTGGAAATCTCGGGGAAATATTTATTTCGTTCATCGAACTGAAAAATCTCCTGAGAAATAACGAAAAATTCTGATGAATATTGACATTTAAAATAATGTACATTTGAGCCTTCAAAAATGATGATTTATATGCAGCAAATTTGATAAGTGTCCGAAACGCCTAAGGGAATTAACATGGGAAAAAAGGGTTTGAAAATCTCGTGACTTTCAGGATGAAAAGGTTTATTGTCAAACGAAAAAAGGGCATTAGTTTTAGAGAATTTTATGCCGCTGAATTTTGTATAGACTTATTTTTATCATGGAATTAACAATTTCCGCTAAAATAGCAAGAATCTGAAAAATAAGTCGTTTTGATTAATGAAATCATCATTTCTATATTAAATTTTGCCATTAATTTATTTAAAAAATATTATTACCTATATCTAAATGAAGCGAATAACGCATTGAAACCTTATTCATTCTGGGCTATTTCGTTTATAATATCCCTGATGCTTGTACGCCTGAACAAGCAACAACAGCCGTTTCTGATTGTGTCCAATCTATCCTAAATTTTGCATCAATATTTTTTTTGCCTTCTCGAATGTTTTCACATCAATTAATGCTAATTTGATTTATACTCAGTCACACCATAAGCTGACTATACGTCCTATAAAAAAAGGAACAATTAGAAATAAACTATTAACTCCTAAATGACGAGCAATTATTTAAATAATGATCACTGAACACAAATAAATTTGTAATTCATTTTAATAAATTTCAATAAATACCTTCAAATGGGAAAAAATATAAAAACTTTAATGAAAATCGTAATTTATTCTCCCATATACAGAAAAGTAGTGTCCCGTATACATAAAGATAGTCTTCATATGACGAAGATGTAAATTATTTTAATTGAAAGTCACATTTTTTAGTTCAGTCATTAGCTGCTCCAAACTAGGTCCATTATCATGAACAACTGCTAGTCCCCCTTCCTCCTTTGCCATGCTGGGCACCGTATACGCCTGCCTAACACCAGAGCACAAATTCCCTTGTATCTCTTCCACCTCCCCTTTATCATCGCCAAGTAGAGATATTCCCCACTCATTGTCCTCATGAACTGGATCCTCATCCAATTCTTTGGCGGTAAGTTTTTTAGGAACGAAGGAAAACTCCTTCTGTCTCTGACGGCAGAACTTCTCCTCGCAATTTGGATTGGGCTTCAGGATCATCGAAGGGAAGAAGTCCAGCATGGCATTGTACCCAAGATAAAATGAAGTGTTCCCAAAATTCAAGAGATACTTTAATGCATTTTGAGCTAAGAATCCAGCGACGATTCCCATTGTCGTTGGCAAAGAAGCAGCGCAAACTCCTTCTCTTTTCAATGTCTTCTCATCGATGTTTGAGGCCACGACGAGAGGTGGAACGCAGGCAAAACAAGCAGTTTCCCCAGGTATAATGAATTGAATGTGGCCTGATACTGCATTCTCTGATACTCCACTCTCAAACCATTTGAGATTGAGTTCATTACACGCTGTGTTTATCGCCATTCTGGCTTCGAAATTGTCTACACAGCTCAGAACGAGGTCCACTGGCGTTCCAGTTAAGCTTGAGGTATGAATTGTATTCATGAACTCCTCGAAATGGGCGACAGTCGTGATATTGTAATTGTGAGTATCAATCTGCACGTCTGGGTTTATTGATCCTAGTGTTTTTGCAGCTGCGGCGACTTTGCTAAGGCCTACTTGGTGAGGCTGAAAGAACAGTCTGTTCATGTTGGCAAGCTCGACCCGGTCGTAATCAAAGAGAACGAGTTTTCCAATGCCGCAACGAGTGAACATCTCCGCTGTCACGCTCCCAACTCCACCCACCCCAACAATTGCCACTGTGAGAGCGCGGATTTTTTCGTAGTCATCTACAATTCCCATCCGTTTTAATGCCATCAGGCGACTGTAAGGGTTCGTCTCCACTACCTCACTGGACAGCTCCTGGATCTTTTCACGCACAGGGACGATATTTTTCAATTTTTCATGGGAGAGCTCGAGTTCAAGTTGTTTTATGCGCGCTTGAAGGGCTTCCACACTTTCCATTTCGTTTCCTTAACGTAAAACGATGGTTTTGTATCTTTATTTCTTATATCAGTCACCAAAGAGGTTGAGAGGGTTCAGGAGTAGGAAATGAGGGCTGGGAAAAATATGGTGTTTAACACTTAGTTGGATACTCGAGTGGTATTCAGTCCAGCTGTGTTGAGGGGGCTCCATTCGAACTACTACAACTGTACGACAGAGATTATAGAGATCTCTCACGGCAATGTAAAAGTTTCGACTGGATTTTTTCGTAGTGGTGGCGCATGAACTAAACGAGTACACTTTTGTTGGTAAAACAGGCAGATATACTAATGTCGGTATTTCCCCCTGAGTGAGAAAGGAATATGTATCGCGCTTGCTCCCACTCATTGTCGTCACCAAAGAGGATAGACCTGAGTAGAGGCCCGGATCGGGGGGTTTGACTGAAGCGCAACTAATGGAGAAGCACTCTGCGCCGAGAAACCATTTAATTCTCCATTGAACAGCATTGGTTTCATTCCTTAATATTAATTAGGAGAAAAGATACTCTTTTTGAATTAACGGGAGAGATGTCGGGAGTCACTGCGCCGAGAAACCATTAGGTTTTTCATAGCGCCGCGAATTTCGTCGCAGTTTTTATTTTTTTATTACAGAGATTAAGAGATTAAACGGGGGTTGATGGATGGGGAATTTAATTCTCCATTGAACAGCATTGGTTTCATTCCTTAATATTAATTAGGAGAAAAGATACTCTTTTTGAATTAACGGGAGAGATGTCGGGAGTCACTGCGCCGAGAAACCATTAGGTTTTTCATAGCGCCGCGAATTTCGTCGCAGTTTTTATTTTTTTATTACAGAGATTAAGAGATTAAACGGGGGTTGATGGATGGGGAATTTAATTCTCCATTGAACAGCATTGGTTTCATTCCTTAATATTAATTAGGAGAAAAGATACTCTTTTTGAATTAACGGGAGAGATGTCGGGAGTCACTGCGCCGAGAAACCATTAGGTTTTTCATAGCGCCGCGACTTTCGTCGCAATATTAATTTTTTTATTGCAGAGATTAAGGGATGAAACAAAGACTGTTCAATGGAGAATTAAATGGTTTCTCGGCGCAGTGACTCCCGACATCTCTCCCGTTAATTCAAAAAGAGTATCTTTTCTCCTAATTAATATTAAGGGATGAAACGGGGGTTGATGGATGGGGAATTTAATTCTCCATCGAACAGCATTGGTTTCATTCCTTAATATTAATTAGGAGAAAAGATACTCTTTTTGAATTAACGGGAGAGATGTCGGGAGTCACTGCGCCGAGAAACCATTAGGTTTTTCATAGCGCCGCGACTTTCGTCGCAATATTAATTTCCTTATTACAGAAATTACGGAATGAAACGGGGGT